TCATTTTCTTCCAATAATCCAGGACCTTGTCGCTGGGGCAGCGACCACCTCCAGCTGACAAAACCTCTAGCTGACAACCCCAGAACCAGATCCAGATCCAACTATTAACTTACAGCCAGGTAGGTTTTTCTTTTTTTCGCAAAACATTATTGTAAAGAAATACATATATTGGTTTGACATTTAAATTAAATAAGATCCGAGCATATTTTCTCCTTAATTTACCTTCCAGTATTTATGAATTGTTGTGTTGTCACACCTTTATATTTTCATGTGTATTATTGTTCATGTTGTAGGATTATTGTAGATTATATTGGTCTAACACTTTGTTAAAATATTTTGAAGCTTAACAAATCAAAGAGTAAATGAAATTCAAAACTTTATTTTTAGAGCCACTGTTTTTTTTAACTATGTTGTAGACATAGTGTTCTGTTAAAAGCTCAAAGTTGACATAAACATCAGCATTCAACAACATAAAGTTTATGGCAATGCAAAGCTGTAGTCTTATCTGTTAACATTTTTGCCTCTGCCCTGTATTTTTCAGAACAAATGCTGAAACAATGCCAAACTCAACCTAACTGACAGTGACAATAACCTTGTCCTGGAGGGTTTTTCTTTCTAGTGTAGATTCCAATGTATGCCAGCGGACTCAAAGCTACTGCTAACAAGCAAAGATCAATTAATTGATTTCACTGCAAAGCCTTACAAGTTCCACATTATATTTTGGAAGCTTAGCAATTTTCAGGATTTTCCTGGGCTTAATGGCTAATTGAAAATGTCTCTGGTTATCCAGCACAAAGGAAGTGTAGTCCCCCTCCTATTTCTACAGTATCTCATTACAAAAAGAAAGGAAGTGGTCAAAGCACAGCATACTGTTCCCGGCACACAGGTGAAAACAGTCCCCACAAATTCTGATTATCTTTGGGAAACAAAACAACATTCTACAAAGATTAAATCACTCAGCATCAAAGTCATTGTGTTTGTATGTTGTTTTATCTGAGTTTAATATAAAATAAAAGAGTAACTGATAACACAAAGACAGGCTTTCTAGATGCTTAATCAAAGTATTACTGCTTTTCTTTCTAACACTGAACCAGCGGCTCTGGAGTTTAAAATCTGGTTCTAGTCTCTAATAAACTCTAAGCTATTATAGAATAAAATTCTGACTTTCTATGAGTTGGGATCTTTTATTATATGCATATTCCTACATAATCATAAAAAAATCAGCACAAATGCATACTTTGTTGGGAAAAACCAAAGGCTTGCTATTTTGAACTGAACATTAAGACATCAAGTATTCTGCTCCTCCTTTGCGGAATTACCTCTAAAATAAGCTGAATTTTAAAGATCTTGTGTCACAGAGTGTGTTAGATCAAATTAAAACAATGTAAATGCTGCCCAGATCACGTATTACCTTTTACTTTTATAACCAACCGTTTGTAACTTTAAAAAAAAAACTTTATATGTGTGAACTTTCTATGTTTGCAGTGGATTTGTTTTAAGCAGTGGTCATCTTGGCTAGGGCCTCTTCGTTTAATCCCCTTTAAATCTCTTTTCTGGTGACAAAAAAATCTCTAAAATCAATTCTTAAACTGAGAACAAGAGCCGCACTGCAAAAATTATCTTAAAAAATTTAAAAAACATTCTTCAATTAAGTGTATTTAACCTTAATTTGAGTGGGTAAATTATTCCATTGGCATTATCTGCCAATGGAATGAGTATGATTAGCCTTAAAATAAGATAATTAGATATTATGCACATGAAATAAGAGACTCCAGTTGTTTTTTCTAATTTTAAATCTGAAGTGTCTCGTCTCATTTACCTCCTCAATTCAAGAAAAGAATTATTACAATTTTTTGAAGTGCAAATTTCTCACAAATATACAAGGGAGTCAGAAAAGAGCAGACTTTCTTACCTCTGCCTATGTGTTGCAGTTGCTCATTTAGGAAATCAAGAAGGGCAATAAGAAGAGAAGAGGCGTCTAGCTGTGTTTGTAAATGGCTGATGCTGCTAGCTACATGTGGCTTCATTTTCAATGGTGTGTATGTTTGCCAACAGTCCCATAAAACACAGAAAATTCCTTTATCTATTAGGTCAATGTTGCAACCTGTATTAAACCTTTATTAGTTTAGGGCTCTAGTTTAGCTGACAGACCGGCTAATGAGATAATCAGGGAAGCAGCCAAGAGGCCAAAGGTAACTGCAGAAGATGAAGAGACCTGCAAAGCTGGTGAGAGTATCTCAGAACTTTTGGAAGTATACCTACCACTATATGGCTTTTAAGGAGGCTTGACAGCAAAGCCCCTGCTGAAAGAAAGTGTCTTATTCTCCACAAGCCATTTAAGAAAACTTTCAAATATTGTAAAAGAAAGTGTACTGGTGAGAAAACACCTAAAGTAAACTTTGTAGTCTACATTCAAAACTGTTCAAATTTATGGGCTGTGTCTTCAAAGGACGTGCTGGACAGGACTGGACCTGGACTGGATCCTTTGAAGTCCTTGAAAATAAGGAGACCGGAAGAGTTTTGGCTGTGAATTCAAACAGGTCTACCCTTCTGCGGCTTTTACTGCCGTACGCTCTGTCGCTTAGCAACCATGACATGTTTCTTTTTCATAATTTTTTTCTTTTTTTTTTATTGTAAAGTGAACAAAGACACTCATGTGAATACAGAGTGGAATAAAGGTGACAACCACCGGGAGCATGAACAAATAAAAGCAAATGCAATGATAGAAACCGTAATCAGTTAGATAACATAATGCTGTCATCTCTCTATCATCTCGGATGTTGCTGCTATTTTCAAATATCCATTACTGTAAAAATGTCCCCAGGTGTATGTTGGTTATTTATTCTCCAGGTTCACAGTTTTGTATTGTTAAAACACTTTACAGTACAGTATTTTATTGTATATATTTTAACTCTTCCCTATTAAGTTATTCATACACATTTTTCTAAGGTGTACATTTGTGTGACCATTTTCAATAATCATTTTGCTGCTGTAAATTTGCCCATTGTGGAACAATAAAGGGATTTTCTATTCTATTCTATAAAAGGGGTAGAAAGATATAAATACATCTAAGCATTGTCTATATTATACATATATCTGCAAAATCTCTAATATTCTAATATTAAGCAAATTGTGCAAAACAGCAATAAAAAAATAAAAATCCTATCAGATTTATATTCCCCACACTGCAGATATATTAGAATCTGTCCTTAAATTACAGCCAAACCCATTTACACATTAACAAATAAAAACCTTTCGATAAATCAAACATTATCTGCCACATATTTGACTCAGTAACCATTAAAACAACTATTTTCATTCATTTCAGACGGAACTAGTCACAGATTTGGATTATATTAAGCGGAACTTCCAATATTCACCACTGTTCGGCAGCAAGTACCATTTCCTCTGTTCACTGAGCAGCCTCCTTGCTTGGTCTCGCAATTAATTCTGGGATATCCAAGGATACCGAGGATACATCGGATCCATCGTTCAAATTGGGCAAAAGAAGGACGCATTTGTAGGCTGCATAACGAGGAATCTTCGAATCCGACGCGACCTCGGCGCCATGCTATGATGTAATAGGCCTTCAAATCTGGCCTTCTGAGGACGCAGCCCATGAATTTGAACAGAGCCCAAGTTTGCATACAATGAGGAAAATAAGTATTGAACACCATGCTATTTAGCAGCTAACGACTTCAAACAGGTGCATCTAATTTAGGATAATAAATGGAGGGGAGGTGGGTTTGTTAAAGGGAGAGTTGTACTTATTTGCAGCTGCATACAGATAAATAGTTTAAAAATCATATATTGTGATTTCTGGATTTAATTTTTTTAGGTTATTTCTCCCACAGTGGACATGCACCTATGATCATAATTTCAGACCCCTCCATGATTTCAAAGTGGAAGAACTTACAAAATAGCAGGGTGTTCAAATACTTAGGTTCCTCACTGTACATGAAATTATTTCTGCATCCTGATAGGGATAGAGAAGCTGGCAAAACTTAAAAATTGCAAGGAAAGGTTCATCCAATATAACTGATTTGAAGCTGTTTTACAAAACAGTCCGCCGTTGAGGAAAGTTGGTAGAGATGTAGCCTATATGCAGTATAAGGTAGTTGTGCAAATTTGTTGAATACAACCATACACCCCACTTTTTAGGTGTCGATGCTTTAAAAAGAAAAAAAAACAACTTGTATCATTCTTTACCTCATAACTATTTATAATAAAAAATATAAATATATCATATCTCTCTTGTCTAGTGTAGTAAGAGGAATATATAAACATCTTGAGTAAAGAAATTTTGAGCGGGCCTAACAGATAACATGTTTTTTTTTAACTTTTTTAAGAAAGCATTGGCACATATTGCAATCAAGAATCCAGATTTCTCATCCTAGTGTCCGCAAGAGGCATTGGGAAGACAAATGATACCAGAACCACGTTAAAGGTCACACAGAAAGGCTACGCTGAAAGTTGAGCAATGGTACACTGTTTATCTTTATCACTTAGAAACAGGAGAAAATACAAAAAAATCTTCACTGTGCGAGCCTGCTTTTCTATTCATGCAGCCCTTTCATGAGAATTCTCACGTGAAAATATGCCAGAACAAACAAACCATAAAAAAATGTATGAGGACATCATGAATACAAAAAGCATTTGCTACAAGCAGCTGCATTGTCCTTTAATGTTAACACAATGCTTAATTCATTTGGAAGGCTTCACAGATCCAATTTTACTATCTGCTGGCTTGCAAAAACAATAACAAATCTGAGATAGACATTACTGGGGCTAGAGATGAACGCACTTCCTTTTATTACAGAATAGATCTTTATTAAAAGGAGAGTGGATAGACATAGAATGCACAGCTGTCACCTACAAATTTTGAGTTAAAGAGAAAAAATATAACCTTACAGGAAGACTGAATACATTTTTTCTTATATATAATGAAAGCATGGAGAGATACAAAAAAAGAACAATGTAAAAGGTAAAGATGGACTTACCACAGCCACCTTGGCCCCGAAACCCATAACGTCCCTCCAGGCATAGCAGAGGCTGTGTGGCAGGTAGAGGAGAAAGAAGATGAGGCCGCCACATGCCGCCGCTAAATTTGCTTTAGAGAAGAAGACGCTAATGAGGAAGCACTGGGAGATGGTGGCCAGACAGAACACCAGCAGGAACACAAAGATTACTGAGGGGTCGCTGTACTGCAGGACTTTTCCGTACTGTGTTTATAAAGGGTTTGGTGAAAAAGACAAAAAAAGCCGTTAGTTTCAAAAAAATGTCAAACGGATGAAATCAAAACAGGCATGCAAGTGAGAGGATGATCATCATTGGAGATTCATTTTAGAAACCCACAAGAAAAGTAGAAAAGAACTGAAATGTCTCTCAATCAAACAGATTTCCTTCTAGCTGTGCCAGATGCTTTCATAAGCTTAGCCTGACACACCGTATATATGTTCTGATACGCATCCTTTCAATTTAATTTCTAGTAAATTTTTCAAACAATTCAAGGAAATCAAGAATGAATGGAGACGTTGCAGTCACAACACATTTCCGCAGTAATATTGCATTTGGAGAACAGGCAGAGTAAAAGTGTTTTTAGATAACAGATATATCTATATGGCTATACATACTTATAACCATGATACACAAACATGAAATTTACTTCTTAAAGGGCATATATCATTGTACTTTAGAAAAATAACAACAAAATAGGTCATTTTAAAGTGCACTTTCCTGAAACTAAGCTTTTTGAATCGATCCATGCATAAAAAAAAAGGTTGTTATTTTAGAGAGAAGTTTATCTAGTTTCTGATTACAGAAATTACAGAATGTAGACTTTTCTAGTAATAAAATAAAGGTTAATGGAGTATATAAATTAATTATTTGGAGAGACAAATTTATGAAAATTTAAAAAATCCTCTATACAGGAAGTGTGGGTGAGCTATGTGATCGTAAACAGTTGGAAAGGATGGATCACTATCTATAATAAATGCATTTTGATCTAGGATTAGGAAACAAATGTAGTCTTAAATGTAAGGTACACCACCTTAAAGCTGAGGGAAGATGCAGCAACAGCTTAAGCCGCTGTCAAAACTGTCAACTTGAGTAGATTAAATAGCCGGATCATCAAAGTAGCTGCATGTTTTTTTTACGTGCATACAATCAATTTAAAAAGAAAATGTATTATTTTATTAGTTTTCTTAAGATGCATGCTCTTTTTCTGTGTCTCAGCCAAATGAAATCAGATGTCTAATTATCCTAGCTCCCCTTCCAGTCTTGGAGTATAACGCATTAGCTTGAGGTGAACGGAGTGAAGATACCTTCGAGCATTCCAGTTTCCCCCTTACAACACCCAGTGAAAAAAATAACAGGTGTATGACTGATAAAACGTACTTGAACTGTTAAAGTAGGAAAGTTTGAATATTGCTTATTAGAGTTGCAATAAGCAAACGGTAGATATGAAGGTGTTGTCATTAATCGTATTTCCTACTTTCAGAGGCGCTTCAGCTGAAAATTCTGAGTTGGAGGGGGAAAAAAAGTCCAAATGGGATGCAGTGTGAAAAGGATGATGTGGTGTTAAAGTCAATGCAGGAATGACATTTTGAGATCTTTATCATGATGTAGTATCACAGTTTGTTATGAACAACAAATCATGAAGAGATTAGCTAGAGAAAGTGATAACTTTGTTATTATGGGGGCAAAAAAGACAGAGAATCGTCAGAGTTATTGCCTTTGCGCAGCATTAACCACAATGGGGAGAAATGTAGCGACTTTTGAAACATCTACTTGAATGATGCCAGAATTTTGGTGAAACACATTTTGTCAGCATCTATCAATAAACCAGTGAAGGACAGACTTCTCTCCATTCTGTTCATATGATGTTAGAAGTTATTTTCTGTCTTGAAGCTATAACACTCATTTCTATCACCTTCTCCCTCTTCCCTTGACAAATAACTATATAAGTCTTTTTCTGATGTCACATTAAAGTTTGAAACTATGTTTTCACAAGTTTTAGTTTTGCATTTGAAAAGAAAGAGCTCCCTCTTACAGCTAAATTCTCCGCTTTGTTGCACTTCTCTTTATTCTTTCAGTCTTTTTCCCCACTTATTTCTAAAATTCCAGAAATGAAATGTTCCTTTGTCAACAGTGCCACAGAGGTTTTTTTTTTTCTTTCATAAACGACATAATTTTACCATTTATCAAAACCAGAAAGAGGCCTGCAAACAAAAGAACACTACCTAGATTCAAATCTGATGTAGGTTCAATGGTGTTTTGAGGATGCAATTTAGAGCCCAGTTTCAGAAAACTGGGTTTGCCTTATGGGCCAAGGATTTTACAGTAGGACAATGATACCAAACATACTTAAAAAAAAAAAACACCAAGAAAAGGACAAATATAAAGTGTTGGTGAGCTATGAAGTAGCAATGAGACTGAACCTAAATACCATTGAAAAGCTGTGCAAAGATCTTAAAATTGCTGTCAGGAAAAGGCACCAATCAAATATGATAGAGCCAGAGCAGTTTGCAAAAGAAGGGTAGTTTAAAAATCCAGGGGATATATGTAAGAAGCTTGCTGAAGGTTAGAGAAAACAATAGGGGGGTGCCAACTATTTTTTTTTCTTGCTCATTTTTGAGCAGTGTTTGAAATTATGTCAGATTGGGCTTTTTTCTGTACTTTTTGTGATGTTCCCATATACAAAAATTAACAAAGTTATACCAAAACATGTGCAATTGCAATAACCTTATGGGAAAAACACTGTGGAAAAATTCAGGGGTGCCAACAATTTTCCCCATCAACTGTATATGCCCTTTAAATGTGAAACACTTTTACTCTGCCTGTGTGAAAAGGACCATTCTCTTATTTTAGATTAATTGCAATCCATTCACTTCAAACAAAACCAGCACTATAGTTTTTTTTTTGTTTTTTTTTATATCCCTGTGACTAAATAAAAAAAACCATTACAATGCTCGGGAATGTGGTTCTGTTACAAAAGATACATTCTCATAAAAGAGAAGTTGTGCATAGCAAATCCATGCCAATACTGAAGAAAGACAATCAAGATCAATTGAGATGTACTAATCATCTTCCAAATTCAAAGTACTACTTAGAATAAATCTTTTAGAAGGTTGAAAAAAAGTCTCTCCAAAATAAGAGTCAGGTCCTGTCATAGCCCCATTTGAAAACATTCCTAAATCACCTTGAGTATGAGAGTAAGAAGGGAAGCGCTGATGGCCAGTAGCAATACACTGGACACTGCCCAGGTCAGCCAATAGATGCTGTTCCTCAGGCCCATGATTCTCACAGTCTCCTTCAGCCTCGCCTCTTTCTCAGCGACAATGCCTTTAACAATTATGGCCACAGAATAAACCCACGCTAAGGTCATGAACAGGGGCAGAGAGCTGGCCAGTGATCTGAGGAATCTGAAAGGTGAAGGAGCATTACTGGAAAGGACAGTGACCCTCTTTACACCTGGGTACATTTCCTAATTATCCCACTACCTGCATTATACCCAGGTTCTAAATTCAAATTAAGACTATGGGTCTAAAGACCAATGGAGCTTTTCATAAAACCTCAGATGGATAAAATAATTTATGTATACATTTATTTTGCTCTGTTAAAGAAAATGAGAAGTTTTAAATATTTAGGATCTTCTAATGAGTCCATCTCTTAAAGAAAAACAGACATTGTGAATACTATGACATAGTGACTACATAGTGACTTCTAGACTTAGAGGTGTAAGACCTCCAAATCTACAAATTGCACATTCAGGTTTGTTCTTTTATACTAAGGAAAATTGTGTTGTTTTTTTTCAACTGTGGTTCACAACAAAATATATTTCTTATGTTTAACATCAAAACAAATCTTTAAAAAATGGCAGTCTTTAGAACAAGTTCTGGGATTTCGTGTTAAAGATCAGTTGGTAAACTAGTGAAGGTGACCAGCTTGACACAGACAGGAGCGTTTTTACAAATTTGCTCCAATCAGGAAAAATTTCAACAGCTTTTAAATGAAAAAAATTGAATTCAAATAAAAAGAAGTTAAAAATCAGTAAGTGTTGCTACTAGCTGTTAGCCCAGCAAGCACACTCAAAAATACGCAATTAGGAAACGGTCTGAAAGTTTCTTAGAAAAACACAGTTAGGCTTAGACTGATATCCTTCTTAGATCTTAAAGCGAAAAAAAAAAAAAAAAACTTTTTTTAGTTTAAAATACATTTATTTTTGTACTTAATGTCTCTAAATCCCCAAAAATGTTTTCTTTAGTCTGCCCAGGTCTTGTTCTGCCATACTTGGATGCTGTCTGGGTCATATTTTTTAGTCTGTTTTGTTTTCTATTATGTCACAATATTTCCTGTGGAAAAGGTAAACAAGGCTATTAATTTCCTCTCACAATATTTTAGTAGTCCAAGTTGAAAGATGCCAAAGAAGCAAGCAGATTAATATAAATGTTCATTTCCTGGTTGTAATAACCCAGATAAATCTTTACACCAACCCCCATGAGCAACACCTCTTTGAGAGGCCTGATTAAATATTATTTTTTCATTGAAATATACATACATTAGCCAGGAAAATGCTTTTTGAATCTGCCAAAGACTTCAGGGGACAAGCTTTTACAGCCTTGGACACTATGAAGAAAGGACTAAATGAAATACTTTGTTTGTCTCTCTTTCTGACAACAAGAATGATGGACACAACAAAGCGGTACGATGCAGATAATATTAAAATGACATCAAGCTTTATTATAGATGTGTTGCTATCACTTAATTACTTTTTTTTTTATAGCATTGTGTCATGTCTTCTACTTATCTTAGCGTTGTCTAACTACAAATTCAACCGAACGGGATGCAGTCGAACCTGGAAGGGGACAGGGTGTGAAGTACAGTACCTTTGGATTTAAAGGGATCACAGCAAAACACGCTATAAAGATCTAAATGAATGATTTAAAGATGAAAAAAGGTAGAATTGAAAAGCATATGTGTCCTTTAATTTGACGAGACAGACACATGCAGCTGAGAACATACATTAACCACATCAAGCATCAGGAGCTCACCATGAACCGAGGCATTAATCTAATAATTAGCAGAATTTTCAACCTCCTGTGCAGTGACTGACAGAAAGGTGAAATGAAAAATGGCATTTCTTCAAAGGGAAATTACATCTGCCAAGTTGGAAATCGCATTGTGAGAAGTGTCTGGCTTAGAAAGGTCAGTGGTGGAGACTGATAACTTGTTAGACCCGTGGCAGTGGTGTTGTGAGGAGGGGGTCACACAACAGTCTATCACACAAATGTCACACAAAGTTCCCTTTGTCTTTGAAGCTTGCGTCAAGTGGACTGCTTCCCACACAGCATGTAATTGAGGTGTCTTGAAGTTTTCTATTAAAGGCTGTTCATTTGGGCCAGTAGAAGGGACACATGTTGGTCTTGTCACTTGACTAAGAGCAGAAAGACCTTGTTAGCTCTTCAGCTGTTTGGTACATATGCTGGTATTCTCCACTTTAATGAAAATATAGTAGATTAGAAGGCAATAAATGCGGTAAAATGCTTATCATCAAGTGGACATGGATGAATATGTCATATAGATAGTTCTGTTGTGTGAAATTGGATCAAAAGTTGTTCACTGCATTGATCTGTTGGTGGGTAAAAAGCGAGTATATCCACCTGTGTAGCAAACAATAAAGGCTTTATCTGCTATAATGGGAGAGAAAACAAGTGAACAGTGACAGAGGACTCAGGTGCAGGTGACAAAACTGCTTGTTGTCAGACCGAATCCAGATCCAGCCTTTGATAATTACCATTTGATTCACCATTATTATTAATGTGCTGAAAATGGCTGTGAAATTATCATTTAGAATAGTCCTGTGATCTGAATGCACAGGCTTCTCTCTGGCTCCTAAGCAGCAGGCAACTAACTCAATTTATTGTTATTAATGTTTACAAACTGTTGAGAGCTGGCAAACGCATTAGGCTGATGGGAAATTACATTTAACCCAGCTGTTCTGGTATCGGTTTCTTATTTATCAGCCACATTTTCCAATTAAACTGCTCAAATTGATTACATTCATCCACAATAACCATCATTTTTATTTCATTAAATGTGCTTTAGGAACAAGGAGTTTTTTGAAGGATGTGCAACATAGGAAGGGGTTGAGTCGTGCTGCAGCTTCACCATGTGGAACACTAAAGGCATGATTTCTTTTAATATAACAACAGCTTGTGGTTAATTACTAATTAGGTTCCAAGAGGATGTTATTAGAAGAGATAAATAATACTAACATATATGACAAAAGGCGAATGAGCACATAAACAATGACATGATTTGTTTTTAAGTAGGCAGGGTGCAGACATTGCCCAAAAACACTTGTCCAACCATTTCATTTGCTAGTAAATACTTATTATTAACAATGATTTTAATTCTAAAGTCATCTATTACATATATTTATTCTGTATGCTGTATACAAGAGTGAAAAAAGGGCCTTGAGATTTCAAAGATAGTATGAAGCTGTTTTCTTCTTACAGTTATTGTAATTGTGAAATATTATAAATCTCCAAAAAAAAAAAAAAAAAAAAAAAAAAAACAGCAGGGGAAATATTTTCTAAACAGTTTCAACTTCTCAAAAGTGTTCTCTTTTTTAGGTCATTATACGCTCACTGTTGCATCCCCTTTATGATTAAAACAAAACAAATTACTTTTAACATTCTTTAGAGTGCTGTACAACGTCCTGGCTCTAAAAGATAATTAATTTCGCCTGCATTTATAAAAACACGTGGCAGCAAACATTCAGTTCCCAAATTAAAAGAAGAGAAGCAATTACAACTATATCCTCTGATTGCAGGAACAGAGAAAACACAAGAGCAGTTTAGGTTGCATGCTTAATTAATTAGACCATGAAGGCTGATTTGAAGAATTGCAGATAATGATCCGATTCTCTGCTCATTAATTAGTTATGATTAACGTAGAAAAAGAACCAAAACACAAAGCATAAACAGTTTGCTGTCCTCTGTGACCTGTGTGAGATTAATTTGTAGTAAACTTAAAGTGTGCTCTGAAAAACTGCATAAATTATCTTCAAGTGTTATGCTTTGTGTTTTGATACCTCCCATTTAGCAACCCTGTTCTACTGACCTTGACCATGACGCTTATGAGCGCGCATGGAACTGTGAGCAGAACAAAGTTCTCTGTGAACCTGGCAGACCAGAGGGCGCCGTTTTGAACGCCAACAGCGCGGAGCACTTCCTTGAGCCGGAGCTCCTTCTCTAGCACCAGAGTTTTGATGATCATGCACACAGAGTACATGAAGGCCAGCACCAGGAACATAGGCATAATGGCTCCAATACTCTGGACGAAGCTGGACATTGAGAAAAGCAATCAAGTTATATCAGATGTGTGGGTTACATAGGGGATCCAACAATATCAAGACTGCAAAACAGACATTCGGAATGTACATTGAACAATGTGTGTGCTAATATTTGTACTTTTGAAGACACAATCAAACAAGCATACAATATAGAATGTTAAATTACAAAAATATGTAATAAAAAAATAGAGAAGAAGCCTTATATTCACATAAACTTCCTAACAGGGTTCTTACTGACATCAGTGGTGCCACAACAGTTTGCTAAAGAGCAAAATAGTGAGATATATTCAGAAAACCTTTCCTATGCAGCTGGGTAAAACATTTTGGCTTCTTATAAAATATTTCTGTATTTTTTTTCCCCCAAATCTTCTGTCAGAACCAGTGTCTCTCAATCCGGTAATAGGCCTTACTAACACACACCACCGAGCTTATATGGGACTGAAATAAGGTTATCGAAATTGCAACAAATTAATGCTTTTTTTATCCAAAAATCACTTTCTGGCTAATGTGGTTGTAAGATTTATTATTTTCTTGGATGATTTACCTCTTAAGTGTTAAGAGATCTTTAAAAAAAAAAAAAAACAGTCTAAATGCTTAATCGACTAAATTGGATGTATGTTGTGTTTAAAAGAGCACATACATTTTCAAAGTCTACAAATCCACTACAAAACTCAAGAAACTCTCCTTCAATCTCAGGACTCTTCACATACTTTTATAGTACTGGAATGAAATGGATTATCAAAAAAAACTTATTACAACAATGTTAAATTAAATTACCCATCTGCCTATGTGTTACTTTCATTATATTTATAATGAAAACAACATACAGGCAGTATTAATATCTTTTATCTACTTTATCAATATCCCTCTACTGTAGTTGCAACCGTCATATTTAATCTATGTAACAGAGATATTCCCTGCTTTCTTAAGAGTGTGAAGGAGGGACTTTGCCATGATTTTATCTTTGCCCTAATGGTTAAATAAACACATTTTTGGTGTGTGTTTGGGGTCCTACTGAATAATACTCTCCACAGATGGCCCTCTAATAAACTTAAATGTTGTAAATCAATCTAAAAGAAGTATTTAAAGTCACCATCATCTGAGCTTTCATGAACAGCTAAAAGGCATAATATTCTTACTTATTTTAAGTTATTAAACAGAGGTGTCAAGTTTTTATCTTAAGTAGACATTTAGGCTATCTATACATTACTGGAGTTATTATGTTTTAGACAAATTATACGTCTACTTACCTCTTACATTTTTGGGGGAATTATCTCTTATTTCTACTTCTTACATTTTAAAGATAAACTACTTAGTTCTGTTTCAGTTAAGCTCATTTTCGTTATGACCTGTTTGTGTTTAAAAAAAAATGAAAGCCATCAAAATAAGTAGTTTTATCCAGAAAATAAATTTTTTTGTGGTTGGTGCTGCTCCAACTTGTTGTTTACTACATAAAAAAAACAGTTATTTAAGATGATTCAAAGTTTAATTTGACACTGTTACCATTAGTTATAAAACTAACTAATAAACTTATAAAAATGTATACTGGGGAAATTATCATCCAGCATTGTGAAAAAATGTTATTGGCTGTTGCAGTAAAAAAATCTGTCCTTAACAGCTTTTCTTGCATTTCTTTACCTTTTATAATTTAAGTAGTTTTAAAAAAAAAAATGTACTTTTAAACTTTTACTTGAGTAAAAAGCTTAAGTTATACTCTAACTTCTACAAAAGTGTTTTTAAACAGTAGGATTTCTACTTCTAATTTAGTAATAAACGTTAATACTTTTCACACCTCTGTTAATAAAGGAAAAAGGTAATAATGCATGCTTATTACTGTGAACAAAGAAATAAGCTGGCTGAACACAATTGATTCTAAAAAAAAAACAAAAACTGAAAATTAAGTTTAAAAAACAGTAAAAAAAAAAACACAAGGCTATGCATACGAATTCAACTGTATTTAACTCACAGCAGAGGTGATAGAAGTGTCGAGCCACAGCTTTATGTGTGTTAACCCTTTAAAGCCCGATCCAAGAATAAAACAAAACAGAAAAATTCTTTTTTTAGGTTTGAAGTCCTTATTTGGCCTTTTAACAAAATATGTAAAAAGAAAAAACAGAAATACATTTTTGATATTAATAATTTATTACTATGCGATGGGTCAAGATTATTTTTTGTGTAGTCTTCTGCCCTCTGTTATCAGGTATACTGTATCTGATTGTGTACAATAGGATTTTGAGCAAAGTTTTTACCATTAAATTATGCAAACGGTGTCAGATGCAAAACATTTCAGAAACCGTATGTATCAAATACAATACATTTGGCATTACAGGGTTAACAATTCTCAGTTCTAAAACACAATGTTAGCTTCAGGTGGGTGCTGTAAAACAAATGTTAAGAACACAAGGCCTGCCATTTCCAATGTTCCATTTATTAGGTACAGGAATATAAAGTATCATTTGTAGATGATAAAAGTTTTACATTCCCCAGGAAGAAATAAGACAATCTGCGTTGCATTCATGAACTCCATGTCTTTAAGTCGTTATCATTTTTACGCAGAGCTAACCTTTATAAAGTTGGAGCATCAGCTCGGTGAAGCATTTAGTGTTTCGGCTCATGCCTGAGATGATGTACGATTTGATGCCGTTACAACACAATAAGGCGATATTAAACTGGCTTCATAATGCCACCAAAATGCCATGTCAATATCTCCTATGCTGCCAATATAATAAAGTGCTATTTTTGATTTATGAGACAGTGAAGGAGAGATATCAAATATGCTTTGTCAAACTGTTCAACATTAATGCCTGCATATCCATAAACATTGGAGATGTAATGCAAGCAAAATGCTGTTCAGCACAAATGGAAGGATGAATGAGGCATGGAGAATCTGATGTTGCTGGAGGAATGGGGGTCTTTCTAGGTGAAAAAAAAAATACTGGTAAACAACTAATGAAAGCATATCTCTAGAGTATGTGCAGAGATAAGGTTTAAAAAAAATGTGAAATATATATATATATATATATATTTTTAAATTCCTTTCATAAAAATAAATTAATCATTAATCAATATTCTTTTTAGAGGACTTTTTTTTCCCTATTTGTATTGTTTCTTCTTTTTTACCTTCCATCATTACCCTGTATGTGTCATTGGAAAAAAACTGCAGTCCTTGTCCAGCTTTGCTGGTTACTATTCCTTTTTTTAAATGCTATTTTCCAACTATTGATCCGCCTGTAGATACGTGCAAGTTAAGAAAAGAATCTATTTTCTTGTTGCTATTTCCTTTCTTATGAACCCAAACAGCCAATATCCTTTATGTGAAAAGTATGTTCTTGTTTTATTTTGAGAGCATTAAAGAGAAATGGCACTTTATATTTATGCCCAGCAAAACAGGAAGCAATTGTTTTTTTTATGTAAACCCGTCTAGACACTCTGATGGACTTTAGAAAAAAGAACATAAAGCAAAACAAAGAAAGAAAAAAAACATTGATTTTCTTTAAAAAAAATATGCCATACTTTAAAAAGTCAGCAACAAGATGTCTTAACAAGAAAAAAAGTACTTTACCACACTCTGATATTGAAATTCTACTAAAATCGCTGCCTGTGTAGAGCAATTTTTCCCTTGGCTTTTAAATGCCTTAATAGTCTTGCTCCTCTGTACCTTTCAATGATTCAGACATTGTGGTATGTTCCAATTTTGCTTTTATAGATAATGCACTATTTTATTATCACGTATGTGGTGGTTTGTTTTATTTTACTACCGTACAGTAATTCAAATTAAATTAATTAATTAAATAATTTGTTATTAAATTAACTTCAAAATTAAATCTTACAGTGCAGGAAAATGTTCACTAATGGAATATTTGTTTTCTTTTGTGAAGTCCAAGTTTAGATATGTAAAATAAAATGTCAATGAAACAATGATTTTATAAAAAAAAAACTTTTTTCCCTTTAATAAAAGTACTTAACATTAAAATAGAATTTACTGTAGTAGCTTAATAAAAATAGTGAGCTGCATGAAATATAAGCTGCATGAGAAGTGTATAGAGGAAGATATGTTTTTGAGGAAACGCACCAACTTCGCTGAAATAATCCATGACGCTTAGGGTAAGTATCAGTTGACATAGTTTCCTAAAAAGTTCACATCTATAGCAACTGAATTCCAAACCCTGCACCAGCGTACTTACATAAAATTGTCTCTTTGAAGAGATAATTAAATTGATACACTACCACAAAAAGTTAACTGATATGTATGACGCCTCCAGTAAGATGTGCATAAAGTCTGAATACTAATTCTGGTATTATCTACTCCTTACAGGCTGCAGGAACTGACGTCCTGTACCAGTTAACTCCTTATGCGACTATGCTCTCCCTGAGGGGGATGAGATCAGTCATGCACACTGTGTCTGACATTGACAACCTTGCCACCAAGACTCTTGTGAATTATACATCTGCTGATCGATCAAAGGTGCCTGAGTAATAGAACCCGAGGCAGCTCACGTGTCGTGGGGTTCTGGTTACATTGGCAGGCTGGCCTAAATTTGGGAAAGCTGGTAGACACATAAATTAAGATAGACTAGAACACACACTCCTTAGAGGATTGCATGCATCCTGTCTCTTTTTGAATTTAATATACTATTTAGGTTCAGTGCTGGAAAGAAATTAGGGGTTTACTGAGGAGAATGTTATTTTATCATTTTGTTTTGCTTTTTATTATACCTTACATGACTCATATACTAAGCAAAAACAGTATTGTATTCCTATGAAAGTGTGTCATTCTATAGGTCATTTCTATTTTAATTTCCTTAGGATACACATAATGTATTTAAAGAGAATCCAATCCAAATATAAACATATTCAGCCAGATAAAGTAATTTCTTCCATTTATAAAACAAAGATAATAACTATGTGGCTTAAATTGTTTAAAATTTTGTCAAATATGAACACAAAAAATATAATTCTATCAAAATGGATATCAGGAAAAACTCAAATGT